GCTTCACGAGGTATATCCTGGAGTTCTAGTGAGAAGCAGTGACCACTGGAGTTCAACCAGGTCTCATGACTCATGATCTTAACCATTGAAATAAAAGAAACAGTTAATACTATATGACACGATACCTGAGAATCAAAAAAATATTCTCAACAAGATGGGATCAAATATCAATCTGTAGGGATTCCAGCAATCCTCCCAAGCAGACAGTCAAAACGTCAACAGTCACACAATGAACCACACCGCGACCTTGAGCTTAGTCAAACACGACCTTACTGTCAATAGTTCTGCAGCATCCAATAGAAAATTAGATAACCAAAGATAAGTCTTTAATCAAAACCACATAATAAAAGCTCAGACGAGGAAGGCTGAGGAACGAAAGGTGTGGTTAAACGAGATCTGAACAAAGGTTAAAATACACGACAGGGAGAAGAAACAGATAGATGACAGCACTGTCCAACAAAAAAGCTGCAGAGGGATTTTCATCGTTCTCTTTCCGTTACAGAAAGCCTATAATATTTTCCACTAAACCCGTCATAGCCGTTACTGCTATACATATTTAGGTTTATGAACAGGGTTATCACATAATTTGCCTAAAAAGACGTTTAATACAGCTTACATAATAAAGTCACCGCATTTAGGCACTACCGTGCTACACTGATATGACGACTAAGCTATTACGTAGTTGTCAGTCGAACAAGCACTCAAAATCAATTTTAGACCCGACTATTAAATTAACACTAATTAGACAGTTATTTCTGTGCCGCAGTTTGTAATATCATCAGGCAGCTCGAAGCGGTTAATGCTAACAACTTCTGATATTTCAAAATCACCCAAAACAACAACACCTAATTCCCGCTGGCTAATCGCCAATCAACACTATAACTAGTTATTCATAATGGTTTCTGCATATCGTCATGTGTTGACAATCACGTAATATGATTGATAAAATTGATGAAACCATTAGCGCAAACTCAGTGGATAAATTAACTTATAATTTTCATTAAATAGTAATGTTTCCTTGCGCTAATCGTATCTAGTATCGATGGTTTTAGTATGTTTTCCTATCATTCAATCAAACATCTTGAAACCCTGTCAGTTTGGTTGGAGGGTTAGTGACGCAATTATGAATGTATAGTCAGTCGAGCAAATCTTCTGCCCTTTGAAGACATTATTGTCGAATTTAGCTGAACAGTGACAAAGGTTCGTGACATTATTACAGGGCTAAGTTGGAAGTTGTATTCCTTTTAGTTGCAACTTATGATCTCCCTGATAATCACATGAACAGCACTCACTATTTGTCATCTTGTAAAGATTTATTTAGCTGAAAGCATCGTACAATACCATGTCACTTTTATTTGTGGCATATACGCCTTGTCAATTTCAGCAACTTACAATCATTTCATTCCAAATAAGTCGATCTCTACCTTATGCCACACTCGATGCTTGCAACTAACCAGTATATATCATCATTCGGTAAGTATAAATATGAATATCAAGTTTATTGCACATTAAAGCAACGGTTCTAAAGCAGCTCTTCCATGGATTCACTCAGATTTAACGAATAACTGCTAGCTAGAAGCTCTCAACTTAACGTAGATTTATTCTCGACCATCAGCTGCTTGTCGCAACGCAACCTCCCCAAAGGGCGCCAACTGTCATATTACCAATACGGGTCATGCTAATACTACCTACATTCATACGTGAGAAGTGTTGTTCTCCATAACGCTATGACCAGTGTGTCTTATAAAATATCAACCCAACTGAGTAACCCACTACAGTGAATATTGTACCTTCGGTAACAATTTTATATTGTCTACAAACTGGCATTTCGCATACAACAGACAGTTATTTGAGAATAAATCATTATTATCTGTTCGCATTTTACATAATTATCACCGTTTTGACGTAGTAAAAGGGCCTTTCTTATGTAGTAGTAGTTTTATTAAATCTTATCACGGTTAAACAATAATGAGGTCGGGAAAATCTAAATAAACTAAATAAACCATAATTAACTTAACAAACCAACTGCAGTCGTCGTCAATATGTGCAACGTATCACCATTCATGTTAAACAAATTGTTCTATCCCCAGCCCAACTGTGTACTTCAGAAGTGCTAAGCATCATATTGTTAATTGTCACGATACGATGAGTCATAATGGGCAATGATTTGACTTTTAAATCATAGATTAGACAGTCATATCATGACAAACCTAAAATTTCAGGAGTAGGTCTATTATTAGAGCAGTACTTATAACGAACTTAGACCGTGATAATACGAACTTACTGATTTCGTTCTACTGCTAATCTACATCCACTACAGCTGTACGTGAATTTTACGTCGTGGTCTTATTTTGAAGTCATTTTGTCAGATTGCTTTTTAGCTTAAACCATCCTAATATATTGGCTCGGCTACTCTTTTCCTTTTATAAGCTCAGAGAGTGAAAAAAATCCTACCAAAAGATTATTATATATTTAACAGAACAGGGTAAATAAACAATTCGCTGGAGGCAACAAGTCTCCCTCAAATGTTAGCCCCACGATGTCGATTAATCAATTCTCATTCGTCACCATTAGGCGTGGAAAAATTCTACTACTGACTCACTATCCAATGTTAAGTTTCTCACGTGTTTCATTCATTCTAAAGAACAACCTTTCGAGGGTTCATTGTTATTTCAAAGATTCTACAAACCTTAGTGCGTGGTATATCTCCATCTATTATTGCATTCTAAGCAAAGCAGCCTCCATCGTCAGGACGAACGAAGACCATCCAGTCTCTTGTTCTTCGGAAACTGAAACTGAGGTAAACTTATGACATACTGACGGTCGTGAGATGACCAATCTGAATTAAGGAAAAGCCTGTAGTGTCTAGTACTAATACATTTATGATTCCTCTTAACTTTGACACACCTTATTGACTGAAACAGCATGTGACATTGAATCATTTTTGCCCTCACGATAACTACACTTTTCACAGGAAATTCCAATCTTCAGCACAAATGCACGTCTTATGTTTGCGATCTTGTATTTCTACGCCGATGATCCTTGAATGTACTTATGTGTGTTCGTCTGACAATCATTATTTTGTGCAACGTCTATCTCATTGTCACATTGCCCATAATCTGTTTCGATCTATGTTAACATTTGCCACGAGAAGTATGGTGAATTGGAATGTTTGCCTTCTTTAGTACGCCTTTCTGCTTCGTTTCTCTTATTGTCTGTCTGCAGCAACGAGTACATAAAATATATGCATTGAAAATTCATTCCTGTCTTGTTCCATAGTTTAATAATGCGAATTAAATAAACGATTATATATGATTGTAGGGGGCATCTATATTTCGTTGGCATCACTCGAGCAAATCGCAGTCAGACCAATAGGGACTATTAATTTTTTTTGCAAGAAATATTTGTTGTAGTAATAAATAAATTTCACGCTATTATTAACAAGGTGAAAAGTGTCAGTATTTGGCCTGTAGATCACTAACGTAGATGACCTGTGTCAAATTATTGAGGAACAACTAACGTCAAAGTCACATCTCACGGCTAGCGCCTAACGTGGATTTCCATTTTGTTGCATTCAGGCACAAAGATATATTAGTAAGAGCAGATACAAGGAAGAGAGTATGATCAACACCGCATGGGTCAGTTCATGGCGTGCAGTTAGTTGGTGCACTGTAGTTGTTATTCAGCTTGACGAGGAATGATGAACTACACGAAATTCAGTGATCCAACTGCCGGACGATTTGGTCAGGGCTCATTGACATTCCACTGGCCCTAAGAGTCCTTAAAACACTCGAAATCAATAGAAACACCCAATTATTACGCCAAAAAATCAATTTAAGATAATGCTGAAACTAAATCACGAAACATACCTGATCCTGAGGCAGATCGTTTGTTACAGCACGTGAACCTGTCCATTGTATATTCAATATCGTTTGGTGAAACTAGATGACATTTCTTAACCTTACTCTAAATCTCAACCCTGTATTTCAGGTTGTAAATGGGGAGGTGACAATGTATGGCCCCATAACTGATGTCTGTTAGTGTCGAAAAACAATACCCTTATTTATTAACCTAACTAAATACTCCAGTTCAACTTCAATACATTACCCTAATCTTTTCCATCATAATTGATGTCAATTGGTGACGACAACAATGGGCAATAACCCTAATTCACAAAATTAGGCCGACTACTATTATGTATACATATAGGCATGTAAACCGCCTTTTTATTTACTATTGAGGATAATTTTATATATGGGCTGATTATTCAGTTATTTCACTCCTTCCTCTTCTCAATTGTTTTATAACTAGGTGTCATTACCTCATGAGTTAACCATTCTCCGAAGGTCGTCAGTACATAATCCTTTATCGAAACTGAACACATCGTTGGTAAAGACTTAGAAACTACTGCACACTGTCGTGAGATAGACGCCAAATATTTTAGAACCTTATGGTCAATACGTGGTGCCTTTAGTGATGTCGTAGCTAAAACTTTTTTTGATTTTGTATACAATGTTTGTGCGTCCTTAACTTGAGTACTCCATACAAGTGGTTAGACCCTAATTAAAGAGACAGCGAGGTTCTAAAAAAAGATTCGGAGAACTGCAACTAAGCTGATTCCCGGAATAGCGAAGCTTCCGTATGATGCTCGACTGGCTAAACTAGATTTATTCCCGTTGTCATATCGAAGCACTAGAGGTGACCTGATTAAAGTCTTCAAATTACTTAGTGATCAATTTGCGCCAGATATGCCCTTATTTTTTGTTTTCCATAGAAGAGAAATTACGAGGACTCTCCAAAAATCCACAAACCCAGAATAAATTACCTGTCGACTGACTATCGACTTTCCCATCGAATCATCCACGAGCGGAATTTATTACTCCAGAATGTGGGTGTGGCTCCATCCGTCGACTCTTTCGAAAGAAAGTTGGATCAACTGAGAGACCACCATTGCCAGGACTAACACAGGTTATCAAGCCTCCTGTCTCTTCCAAATTGAACTGAAACTGAACTTTTGGAAGCCAGCGCGGCGTTCACGCTGCACGCTACTAGTATGTTTCTAGCTCATTTGCAACTTTATCTAAACTAGTTTTGGCTCTTGGTAACTTAGTGTCGGGTGATTTTCTATTCTACCCAGTTATTTAACAAATACGACTGAAGTTGTGATTTCAATATGTCCATGTTAAAATTCCTTTCGAAAGCTTCAGACAGTTGTCAAAATACCTTAATATAATCATACTGACCAACGTAGACACTTCCTAAGATAGCCGTGAAAAAATGCCGATAAATATAAATTGGTCAGTAGGCAAAAAATATGAGCAAATTGTAGTACGAGTACAATCTTCCGACTCTGGGATAAAATTCGTCAATTTTGAGAGAATTTTAGGGTAAATGTGATTGAGAACCATAAATTTTCATACCGCCTGTTGATTTTCTATTTAAACGGAAGAATCTACTAAGAATGTGCTACTTTTGGGCTGTTTATAGACTTCTTTGTAAAACGCTCAAGATAATTATCTTGAGCATTTTACAGTCATTAGTTTGCTTCAGGTAAGTATAGTTATGACGAGAGTAAATCTTACTAAGTTGAGCAACTCTTTGAATGGGATCGGAAAAGAAAATCTGGTAGTCAGCTAATCGAAATACAGGCGATATAAATCAATAATTCACCACATAAAAACCTGAAAGTCTAGGTTAAAATCAGAGTAAATGAGCGATTTGTAGACATGTGGATGAACGCCTGCAGTTTTTTCTCCGACTTGGGTTTAAAAATGCATTATTATCTCTGTAAATGTTTACTTATTCCATTACAGTTCTTTATGAGTACCCATTTATATTTATTGGCCAGAATTTTCATAACATGTTTTTCAACTCAAAACCCACTGCGTCTAATGCCTTATGGTGTGTTTATTTATTTACTTAAACGTTGATACAAGGGGGCACCGAATAGATATGTGCCGCATAGACCATTCGATTTGTGTGAGGGCCGTAATACTGCCCAGGTGCCCAAACCGAAGCAGGTGGTTTTCCTAGGGGGCCACACCTGGAGCCTTCGACCTAAAGGTCACATCCACAAGGCAGTGGAGCATCGTAAGGAGATGCAGTCCCATGGTGGCCAGTGACCAATAATTGGTTCATACGCCATTTGTTCTGTCAGGATACTGGAGCCCATGGGTACCGTTGGTTTGGAATCAGGGTTTTTTTAAACTCTCCTAGTCCTTATTGCTAGGCTACCTGTCTTTTGATTTGTGTATTTATTAGTATCTATTGCACGCCATAATTACTTATTAAACCACCTTATGGTTGATATCTGCTGTTTGTGACATTTTATTTGTGTCTTTTATCTCATAGGATTACTTCATTTTTAAGACTTCTCCACTTGGTCTTGGATGGAAAACCGACGATCTTTAGAGTCCCTAACAGTTTTGGAGCTGGAAGAATTGTTCTCAAAGCAGCTTCACTTACGCGACCAGTTTGTCAAATGAGAACATCTGATTCATTTATTTTAGTTTTCTTCCCAAGTTGCCTGATTCCGGTGAAAAACTAGTGAGGTCAATTGAAAAGATTCGGGATATATTATCAGAGAAAAAGGTACTGAAGTCTTAACCAGTCGTACGGTGATTCCTTCCTATAGACTCACCTCCTCAAAGATGACGAAAGCCATCCCATAGCGAATAAGGAAACAAAGGTCACTCATGGATTATCAAAGTAATATGTTATCTCATATAATTAAAGAAATGTACTTCCAGTATGACTTCGATTCATAAAGGAAGCGAATCGGAAACTTGTACTAATACAGATCCTAAAAAAGATTCCATTGATAGTCTATCAAATAATCTTTCCAATATATCTATTAGTTTACGTAAGTACTTGTATATTTTCAACCTTTATTTACACATTCTACTTATTTTAGCTTTTAGTAAAGTCTTACCATGTGATAACATTTAATCACTTGATGATCAACTTCCACAAACACAACATGTTCTCTAGACCATAAAAGTATAAAGTGCTTAAAAAACAGCTTGTATCTGAGATCACTCTTAGTGATTATCCATTGGAAAGTATCAAGAATTTCGTGTCTGTGAAGCGGTGGCTTGATGGTTGAGGGGTTCGGCTGTCACTCGTCAAGTCCTAGGTTCGAGCCTCGTTTTATCTAATTCGCTTTACGCAATCGGTTAGTCTCATTATCTTTCACACTTAGTGTGGCTCATACGGAAGTAGCCGGTGAATGAGTCAACCTAATTTCTGATTTCGCACTTCTGGATAGTTTCATGACCTATGATAATAGACCCACCGATGATATTAATCTTCATGTAGAGAAAGCTAAAGCGATTCACATCAATCTTGATCATCGTCGGCACTGTTTTGATCAAGTCTGTCTATCCTTGTAAAAACTGGCCTACAAAGTCATAAGTTTTACTATCAAGTTTTGATTTGATAGTCTTAAATAACTTAAGCACTGAGTAATTTGTTTTTGATAATGAAGTAATAATATATTTGTAATACCCCAATGAACAGAAAATCCAACACATATTCCGGCAAACTAAATTAACTTGATTGGTCTTCCAACTCAGTAGTACATGGATCCACTTACCCGACTGTTAGTTACACCTAATTCAGATGTGAACATAACACTCAAAAGAATTTTAGAGCCAATGACCTATACATCCATTTGAATTATAGTATATTTGTAATATCTCATTTGGATTGCTGACCTGTGGTATTGTAATTTGTTTCGTCACAGAAGAACAAATCAAATTACATTAGAACAATTTTAAATGGTACGAATTGAAAAGTCAAAACATTTAATGTACCCTGAACAAGCCTAATTGTGCTAATGTTACTATCATTCAGGTCAGAGGTGATTCTATTCAAGACATGTGTGTGTATTCGTGTATATTTAAGTGGGTGTGAAAAAAATATAATCTTTTTAACGTAAAGGTTTAGCGTTACTTTGTATGTATGCTAATGGTTTAAGGTTTGAGCAGGTTAAGTGTTGCCATTTGAAATAATGGTCCCAGTTCAATGAATAGTTAGTTCACGAGTATGTGGATTCGTGTACAATTGAGTTGAAAAATTAATTAACGTAATTTAGTTTATCAAAATACATGTACTGAGGGTTTCATCGGTTAAATTAGTTAGTGTTTACTTGCAGTAGATCATGTCTAAATCTTAGTCATTCTAGATAAAATTTCAGTCTAGTTTGGTTTCCATATCTTTTAACATTCATGCCTCTACAGTGTATTGTATTATCATATTTTAAAGGAATAGGTAGTCTAAATGTAAGACTCATAAATTTTACCGTGATCTTTTAACAACTTTCATTGTGTTCGTCAGGGCTGTCCACTCTCCCCATTCTTGTTCAACTTTGTGGTCGACGTACTTTTAGAGATAACACTCTCCTCATCTAAATTTCCAGGGGTTGAACTTCTACCGGGAGGTTCACTTGTTGACTTAGAATATGCTGATGACATAGTTTTATTTGGTGAAGACGCTGACAAAATGCAGAGTCTTCTGACCACTCTAAGCAACAATGCAGGCATGTTCGGGATGCGATTCTCTCCCTCGAAATGCAAAATGTTGCTTCAGGATTGGGTTACATCGACACCCGAACTAGTGATAGGGAGTGAGGTAGTTGAGTGTGTCGACCGCTTCACTTATCTTGGAAGTCTCATCAGCCCTTGTGGTTTAGTGTGTGACGAAATCTCAGCACGGATACAGAAGGCTCGACTAGCTTTTGCTAACTTGCGTCATTTATGGCGTAGGCGAGATATCCGTCTATCAACCAAAGGACGTGTTTACTGCGCAGCAGTTCGTTCCGTCCTACTTTATGGCAGTGAAACATGGCCGGTAAGAGTAGAGGATATTCGTAGGTTACTAGTATTTGATCATAGGTGTCTTCGAAATATTGCTCGTATATCATGGGACCATCGAGTAAGTAACACAGTTGTTAGGAAACGGGTACTAGGTAAGGATGGCAAATCAATTGATGAAGTAGTGAAACTTCATCAGTTGAGATGGCTTGGACACGTGTTACGTATGCCCAACGACCGACTGCCTCGACGTGCTATGTTCAGTGGTATAGGAGTAGGTTGGAAGAAAGCTAGGGGCGGCCAAACCAAAACATGGCACAAGTCCATGAAGTCACTGACAAGTGAACTGAGTCATGTTGGTAGGTGTAGACTACCTGGTTGGGGACCGCGAGATGATAGCAACCGATGGTTAGAGACCCTGAATGACATGGCTCAAAATCGTTTGCAATGGCGCAGGTGCATCCACTCTCTGTGTTCTCCCAAATTCTAATCTTCTGAATTCTTCATGTCCCTTTTTTCCTCTTTCCAAATTTATTTCACTGGATTATACTCTTTAAATAACATCTCCAAACCCTAATCTTCCCGATTACTGCTTATACTCTTGCTACCTCTACCACTACGGGATTTGAATCGACAACTGCATCTCTGTGCTAATGTGGTGTGGCAACTCGAACTGATGTACGTACGTACGAAGTTCTACGTTGTTACTGACTGACTGACTAACAACTTTCATTATCCTGTAAGAGCTGATCTCTATTTCCATAATTTATCAGTTCAACGCATGCCACCGTCAAGATTTGAATAAGTTCCTCAAGATGAGTGTGATTCGTAGTTTACATTTAATCACGGGCACATGTTTTACGATTGGTACCGTGAAAATATTTTAATACTTCCATAGCATCATTGTCATTCAATGGATGACTTTTTGGAAAAATCTCATGCACTTTACTAGTTTCATATGTATTACTTCATTGTATTATATTACTACAGCTTTTAATGATACTGCTTCAGATTCGGATGAAAAATATGATAATATTTCATGTTTATCGTATGATGAGTATACTGGCATTAGACAATCGTTAAATCTTCCATGCTCTTATATTTCAAATTCGTTCCAATGGTTCACCTTCACATTTCGGTTCGTGGGTAATTTAGTATATTTATCTGTATTGGATTGTAGGTAAGCATTCGGTATAAAAATAATAATTGTAATTAATTATTTTACCCCTGCTGCCTTGTTTCGCTTTTCTGTTACTTTCTGTGCGAAGCAGCATAATGTATTGATTACTATGAACACTTAAGTCTATTTATTTATTTGAATACATAAATACTGGTACAAGGGGGAACCAGATACATATGCGCCACACAAATTTCATTTCATTTGTGTGAGGGCTGTAATGCTGCCCGGGTAGCCAAACCGAAGCAGGTGGTTTTCTTAGGGGCCATACCCTGAGCCTTCGACCTAAAGGTCACATCCACAAGGCAGTGGAGCATCGTAAGGAGATGCAATCCCATGGTGGCCAGTGACCAACAATTGGTTCATACGCCATTTGTTCCGTCAGGATACTGGGCCCATGGGCACCATCGGTTTGGAATCAGGGTATTCCAACTTCCCTAGGTGGACTCTCCGTGTCCACCAACTCGGTTAATGCGCCGGAATTCTCTTTTCGTCCTCTCAATTTCGTAAACACCCACGCCGCGAGAAGGCAGTGAGTAGGGCTTCCCTGGCAGAGGCTATATATGTGTGGCCATGTGAGAGCATTTCGAGAGGGAGAGCGTACTCTCCCCACTGTCGGCCGTACCAGGGCATCTGGGGGTGAAAACTTATGTCACTGACAATCTGTCAAAGCTTCAATGGTAATCATGTTTGAACAAGGTTATGCAAGTTTTAAATTTACGAATTTATTTGTTCGTCATAATTTGCACAATTATCGGTATAAAAAATACCCGAGCTATGGTATTCTGGAAGTTGTTTACAGTTAATTTATTTGAGAACCTTACAAAATTAAACATTCATTATTAATTGGTTCTTGACTCAAAGAATTTTGGGAAGTAAAATGAGTAACAACAAAACATAGTATCTATAGATGACTTACATTTAGAAATCAGATTTGATTTGTGGACTGAATTATATCACTGAGATGAAGTTGGTACTTAGTATGGAAGGTTACCAAGATACAGGTCAGTATATTGAGTACCCTGTTTGCTGTTGATTCCAGCATCTATTGGCTTCATTGTTCACAATCGTTTAGTTGTTTAAATTACTACTGTAATATAACTAGCAGTTATCGGTTAGCTCTGATAGGTGGCTTCTGTTGGTATTATGGTCAACCTGATCCCCATTATCTGGATAGGGATAATGAATAGCAAGTGGGATGTAATGTACCACAATACAATTTTACTTCGTTTTTTTCATGTAGATATGATGGTCACCACGTATCTAGGAAATGTAATGTTCATTTACTTCCTAAACTCACATTAAGTAGACACCGCAAAATTTCTTTTGTTTGGTTTAAATTTGTTGACCATACGTTTGTTTTCCCTGGTACTCCCGAACAATTAATCGTTGTTTGTAGGACTCTCTGTGTCTTTCATGAGATATTCATTTGTGTTTTTTGGTTGTCGTTTATTCATTAATTTCAAGAAAATGTAAATAAATTCTCCATAAATGTATTTTGAGGTACTTTGTTGGTCTTGACGAAATACAGACACATACTTCGTAGGTAAATATATGAAATACAGGCACGCGTTCTACTAGGATTCTCTCAAAAAGTGATTATCAAGATTTTGCATTACATTATCAAGCAAGTCAGTCTGTTACTGACTGACTGATCAAGCAAGCGGCTTGATAAAACAGACTATTTTTCACCAAAATAATCCTTACACATTTTAAATGAAATCTTCTGTAGACTCTACAGGTATCATGAACTACTTTTCCTGTGCGTACTTCGTAGATTATAACTTGTGTTTATTTTCAAATTACGCTTCGAGTCACACTTTGGTTGCTTGAAATACTGTGTAGCTGGGAAGACCAAAGTTGAAACAAATGATGCTGTGAGCTGGAAATATCATCTTGTAGACTAAGTATTCAACTCCCTATGGTTATTTCTCCCTCGAAATTCGATTTTGAAAACTGACAGCATCTTTCTCATGCATTGATGGAGCTCTAAGTATAGTGTACAGAAATTACAAGTATAAAACAAACCATTCGTTGATCCATTTGGATTCCAGTAGGTGTAAAAGGCATTCATCTGAAACATAGTATCTCAGCCCCATGTCAAACTTCCCAAGTTAACTTCACCTTTAATTTATATCCTAAAATCTGTAGGTACTTTATCAACCCGATCCACTTCAATTTGAGATACTGTAGTCTGGTTCACTTTTACTATTCTTATGACTTGAGTTGGTCAAAAATATTTACTGATTGGAGAACATGTGTTAATTAGTCGTTAGTTCTAAAAAATTATTTCTATTTATTTTAGCAATCCTAATCGAAGCCTTTTACGTGCTGGTCTTGTAAACACATGGTTTCCTGATATGAATTGTATTAACGCAGTGAGTAAATTTATATGTACAAATAAGTATTATTTGGTATACTTATAAACACACTAATGGATATCAAGTACACAAATAATATCGTATTATTGAAAATAAATTATTGACTTGCAATTCCTTCTCTAAGTTTCATACAAGTTGGTTATTAATACGTATTAAGTTTTTTAATTTCCCGTTGCTCATTTGCTACACCGAACTCATCAGTGTTTGTTGGAATATTTGTTCATTGTACGAGTATTTGATCGGAACTACATTAATTTCGTAAATGCAAGCGAAATACGCAAAGTTATTGTTTGTTATGTGGCTTAAAATTGATCGGGTTATGACAGACACATTAAATCGTTATTGTTTTAGATAAATAATAATATCCTAATATCTTTTCTTCTTTTATCTCTTAGCTCTTTATTACTATTGATGTTTTTTTTATTAACAGGCTCACTACTATCTTCTTGTTGTTCATTTCTTTTGCTATACCATTTGTGAAGTGTAACAACTTTAATCTTTACAGTGTTACAAAAGATTCTCCTCTGTTTTCATCCGATTGTCTACTTACGTAGTATTCATTTAGAAATTAAATAGACATTCAGATCTGTTTAACTAATCTATTCGCAGTATGTGACCATATTCTATCCTACATTGACATCACAGATGTTTTATCATAGGAAAATTTGTGTTGTACATTATTGTATTTCATATTCATCACATCACCCTTAGTCCATGTTATAAAAGATACTAATCCAGTTATTTCATTCAACAATACACAGATAAGTTATTTGTTAGCAATTATTATTTCCTTTGTAATGAAGGGTCATTATAACCATCGGATTTTTATCTCAGCTCCTTGAAGTCGAATTACATTTTTACGTATGTTTTTCTTATCTTGTTTGCAAAGTTTCCTATTACTGACATTTTTGGAAGTAGTTTTTTTTATTCGTTGATATTATTTATTGATAACGCAATTCATTTTGCCAGCTATCAAGATAAAAATCATCAGACTCATTTTTCCTAACAATTAGGTCTTTCTAGGTGAAACCACATTGTTATGATTTACGATGGCCTACTGTAATCCCAAATTACAATCAATCGAGAGATTCTAATATGATAGGGAATACATGCAAACCAGTTGGACTGAACAGCTAATGCACTGCAATACTTGAACATCAATATTCCGCACTCACAATTAATGTAAAGAGTATAAATTTTTTATTTTTAATAGAAGTCAAAAATTTGTAATAAAACAGTTATGTTTATATAGCAGCAGTTATACAACCATGAGGCATCTTAGTAGTAGCAAGATAAAGTAAGAGTAACCAATTTGAGGAGTCCCATACTAGGACGAAACGGCCGTCCAGTGCTTCCAGGTTTCCCATGGTGGTCTAGCTTCAAGTGACTCATGATTTCAATCAGAAATATGAGTTGGAAAAAAGTCATTACGGTTATCCTAACGCGTAAGATGTACCATTTATTAACAAAAACTGTAATTTTGAGCCTTCAAACGACACATGAATATAATTCACTATATTATTATAACCTTTTTTCAAAAAACTAAGTCTACCATTATAAGAATCTCAACTTCCTATTTTACGCTCTTTTTTTAAAAAAATACTTAGAAATCCACTTTGAATGAAATACCATTGAAAAAAATATCACTTAGTCAACCAACACATGCATTACATGATTTATGGTTATTTATGTCAACAACCAGTGGTAAAAATAAAGTTGTAATATCGAATGCAAGGACCTATTGCCTTATATGCTACTCTTCAAATAATAACAATAATTCTAGCAATTTCGATGATATAATTTATCTTAGTCGGTTAATACGTTCTACGCGTCATTCGAATATTGTTCGTTCAGCTCAGCCGCATGATTGTTATTTCTCTAATGCTTTTTATGCCTTGAATACAATAACTCTCAGTAACAATGCCAATAATGATAATAATATTAGTAATAATAAGATTGATAAAATTGTTCAATTCATGAATGATATGGAAAAACAAGATAATCATTTGTCATATTGTAAAACATCACCTACACATATCAGTCGAGAATTTATTAAAAAATGTTATGAACTCTATGAGTTAATGTTTGACAAGTTGCCTTCACCTTCGAATAACGACGAAAACACAATGAATAATGTAGTATTACGGTATTTTTCAAATTCATTGGAATATTTGAAGTTGTCCAAAGCTAAAACAATAATGTGGATGGAGGTAAACTACTTTTTTTAATTTGTTTAATATTTTGATCGTTTATAAATTCTGATCTTCCCGATTTCTTTGAGTTTATTTTGCTTACAGTAGTATCCCTTGTTGTTGGGATATTCAGAAAAATATCCCAATAATTATCCTGTTAAGTCTAATGGTGTCCTTAGACTTTAAATGGACATTTCCTATTGGTCAATATTTATTTCACTTGTCAAATATTGTACAAATGTTGTTTTCTATTTTATGGTACAATGTGGTCTGCTTGATTGGTATATAAACAGAGTATGTCTGAAATATAATGATTCATATCTCAGAGGCTGAGACTTGCGTTCTGGACTCAACTGGCTGGGCTAGACAGGGAAGCGGGACCAATCGGAACTCTAGGCCGTTCTTACGTGTCTCACGCGTCTTTGGATCGATCGGTAATTCGCTAACCTCCAATCTGCAGCATCTCACGTTACAACACTTGTAAATACGAAAAAATAGGTTTTGTTAACTTAAACGCGTAAATATTCTTATGATTATTTCATTCTACTTGTTTGCAGTGAACTGTAAAGCATCAATTGTCTGTTAGATTCGGCTAACAGCATTGTTTACGATTGTATATATATCGACTTATACTCAGCACTATTGATTATTACTTATTTTAATTCAAATAATCTTCATTATCGTCCTCCACTGAGAACCTGGAAATACATTAAAACTGTTTCGTTCTACCTTAGAACTCCTCAGTAGTGGACGCTTACGAATTCCTATGGGATTTAATAAAGGATCTTCACGAATCTCAACAAGCATTGTACGCTGGATTACTAAGTCATAGTCTCTTCTTCAGCCTGTTCGTAATATACAACGATCCTTAACCAATGTCATCGTTCAATAACTACATCATTTTCCACTTAGTTGATTCCAGAGGTTACTGTTTCCTGTTAGAATGTAAGGAAACTCATCTGGTAGCCAGTCATTAGTGAGGACACAATGAACGGTTTGATTCTGATTTCATGATCTAGAAGTATTATACTCTCCGTACGATATTAAGGTTGTTGGTCTGACCCCGAATTTGGAGTTGTGTCTTATCACTCCTGAGAATTTATGAGCTACAGAGAAACAGTTTTTTTATTCCTTGGTTTCAATGGTCATATAGCTGGCATCATTGTTTCTATGGTTTTGTTGATCAAGTCAGTCAAGTGCTTACTGAAAATAGCTAGAACATCCAAGAAAAATTACCTGAAAAACAAGGTTCCACTACTTATTTGCGATAATAATATGGCCTGCATTCATTTAATGAACTGAGTTTGAAGTTATCACAACCAAAACACCCTAATATTCAAATCTATTATCTGAGATACTGCTGTATCCACTAGTTTTCATTGAAATGTTTAAAATGCGAGACCAAATCGTTAGTTTCAATAAATATGTTTGTTAGCATTGTTTCATACTTATTTAAATTTTTATACACTTTTGACAGGCACCTATTGAGCTATATCTTTTGCGTAAACTTAAAACTGCTTGCAGTATCATGACGAATAAATCTACTTTGGCTTCAACAAACAACAAAGTCAATGATTTGAATAAAATATCTGACAATATTTTACGTCGATTAGCCGTTGTTGGTTTAGGTCGAACCCGTTTAACCCGTTTAGCTGGTCTAGGCGGGTGGAAACAATTTGCTGGGTTTTTATCTTATCATCCGTCGTCATCATCATCGATTTCAGGAAATTCAAAGATTACTAGTCACATAAATGACGAAGCGGATATCGTTAGAAATGCTTTTGTCACTGATGATCTAGAAACTATTCGTATACTTTATGTTTATTTTCGTAATGTTTACAAGTAAGCTAATGTTTACTAATATTTTTCAATATTCAAAATTGTTTTTAACTAACTCAGTCTGAGTAGTCTTAATATATATTAATTCTCTTGCTTTCAGACACTGTGGTATGAAGGAGATTAGCTAGAAAGTGTTCTCTTATTAAGTTAAAATGTACTCATTCGCTACTAGTTGGATGACTGTTAGTTATTTCCCTTGTATAGGAGTTATTTAAATGAAAATTGGTCTGGATTTGATACAATAACCTCACCGTAGATTATTGGTATTCGTTAACCTCGAAACTATGCATTGGCTATCATTGGTTTATATTGTTGAGTCACAAAGTTTCTAGGACTTCATAATTTATCGGACTTATCACATTTAAATAAAGTTTTATTCATATTTATAATAATCCCTAGTTGTATGAAATCTATTGTTCGTCTTGTTCAGTTGTTATTTTCTATTCCATTTACCTACGCCCTATGTTTTTGTCTTTATTTAGCCCATGGTGGGAAGTTTTGTTTTAAATTCCTTCAATAGATACTTCTCTAAGACTATCTTCTGTCACAAAACGTGATACGATCGTTTTAAACCCATTCATTCTGTTCACTTTTTCTACTCGTTGTTTTTGTCATTTCTTTTTCTACCTAGAAATCTTGATCGTCATGAAAGATGTTATTTAGAAAATAATAGTAACCATCATCATAAAAATCTAATGAAGTCATTCTCATCGACGAAGTTATCCAATAAACAGCATCGTCCATTTCTATTGTCCTACTTAGATTATCACAGTGATAATGTGAATTCGATGATGTTACTAATAAACATGATAAAAAATATATATTAAGTGACAAAATACAAGCATGGATATCTTCTGGTAATCAATTATTCGATCCTCTTGGGCATCGTCAATTATGCCCACTCAATATAGATCAATCAATAGACCTAATGAAAAATGTACAAGCAAACTATGAAGTAAGAAATCAGATTTGTTTTATTTTAGAAATGTGTTTACAACTCCCCCTGGATCCCTTCTAGGATTACTATCGGTCACGAGCCTGGATAAAGTAGGAGTGTTTATAAACATGGATTTATTTATTAATTCTAGGTAGCAATAAAGCAATATTACAATTCTTATTTATTAGTTTAAACTTGATTTTCTTGATTTAACAAATAAACTCCAACTCTATGGTCTATATCTCCTAGTTCAGTATTTGAACAATTGGATAATCTCTTTAGCCTTAACATGACAAGTATAATTCGTGACTTATCGTACAAACTTTCATATATCCACGTATTTTCAGTAAACATAGAGAACTTGGTATAAACCGAGTACTAAGAACAACGTCATACATACTAAGTAAAGTTCTTGTCCATTGAACTGGATATTCGTTGTTGAACATTCATTTGGAAAAAAAACTTATTTATTAAATGTTAGACTGTTTCTCATATCTGTTGTAGCATTTTGAGTTGAAGTTATCAGATAGTCTATGGAAAATGTTTTGATCTTTTTGGATCCTTAGTCAACCGTCACTCAAATGTGTATTAAACGGGTGGGCTATCTTAGTTTTCTCCTTGAATTTTAAGACAACTATTCTTTACCATCTGATTTTATGCATTAGACACTAAAAGTTTACGTATCAGTAAATGTCTTGTAAAATTCATAATTTCATTTCAGTCCTACTTCACAATTTTTTTTAACTGTCTACGGTTATAGCAACAGCGAACTTGGAAAAAACGTTGATTAAACCGTGTAGGTCATCGTATTGTGAACATCAACCACATAAAAAGAAAGTTTTCTAAAGGATTTTATCAAGAATAGCTATTGTTATGGTTACAAAAAGTCACTTCTGAAAAGTCGTAACGTGTCCTAACACCTTAAGCTTATCTTGGTGTACAGACTGATATTTCTTAATGCTGTCATGTGTATATACCTTAAAACTAACTTCCCATGAGTTGTAAACAATTAAGTTTTATTAATTTTAGTAAACAGAAAGGCTCAACTTGCTTACACTAGGTATGATAATCAAGAGTCATTTGTCTGTTAAGGAATCGGTATGTAATATGCACTATAACCTTGTTCACATCTGTCTCCTTCGAAGGTCATTGATATGAGAAGCTTGCTAGAATTTCGTAACCTTTGTTTTTACTGTATCACTTAACTGATAAAACCAGTGGCTAAGCACTATTAAGATCGTTCGCTGTTCTCAACAAAAAAAGGTGAAACTATGATTTATTTGTAAATTTGCATTCAGTATAAATGACGTTTAGAGCCGACAAGCAGGAACACGTGGAAGACCTAACAATGACAGCAGAAAAAGCTGCAGGAGAAGGAAATATGAAACAAAACTATATGACACAACGAAAAATCTAGCAGGGGAATATAGTAAACCAGAGAGACCGGTAAAGGACAAAGAAGGTAAGCCAGTTACTAAGATTCAGGAACAGAGGAACAGATGGGTGGAAGAATTCGAGGAACTCTTGAATAAATAAGCTCGACTGAGTCCACCAGACATCAAAGCAGCACACACAGACCTTCCTATAGATGTCACTCTACTAACGATCGAAGAAATCACCATGGCCGTCAAACAAATTAAGATGGGAAAACAACAGGACCTGACAATATACCACTGAAGTCAGATATAGAGCCAATCGCGAACATGCTTCACACTTTATTCAGGAAGATTTGGGGGAAGAAAAGTATCGACAAACTAGGAAGAATGACACCTCATCTAGATACCAAAGAAAGGAGATCTGAGCAAATGTGAAAACTACAGAAGCATCACTCTACTGTCAGTACCAGGAAATGTTTTCAACAAAGTGTTGCTGAACCGGATGAAAGATTCAGTAGACGCCCGACTTCGACACCAATAGACTGGATTTCGTAAGGATCGGTCACGACACTACGAATCATCGTTGAACAATCAGTTGAGTGGAACTCTTCACTATATATCATCTTCCTTGACTATGAGAAAGCGTTTGACAGTGTGGATAGAACATCATGGAACCCTCTTCGACGCTATAGTGTGCCGGAGAAGGTCGTCAACATCATACGGAATTCATACTACGGACTACACTGCAAAGTAGTGTATTGAGGATAGCTCGCGGGTACATTCTAAGTGAAGACCGGTGTCGAACAACTTTGCTTACTCTCTCCCTTTCACTTTCTTCTGGAAGTTGACTGGATTATTTAGACTTCGGCATCTGACGGGAAGCACGGAATCGAATGGACAGCTCGGAATTAGTTAGAAGATTCGGACTTCTCGAATAACCTAGCTCTTCTATCCCATACACACCAACAAGTGCAGACGAAGACAGCCAGTGAATCAGCAGCCTCTGAAGCAGTAGGCCTCAACATACACAAAGGTCAAGGCAAGATCCTGAGATAGAAATCTAAGGACACTATCTCAACCAAATGTGATGAAGGAACTCTGGAAGAGGTGGAGACTTTCACGTACGTGGACAGCATCATCGATGAATGAGGGGGATCCGATGGGAACGTAAAGGCAAGGATCGGCAAAGCAAGGGCTTTATTTCTACAGTTGAATAATATATGGAACTCAAAACAACTGTCAGCCAATATCAAAGTCGGAATCTTCAATACGAATGTCAAGATAGTTCAACTGTACGGAGCTTGGACTTGGAGAACTACCACAACCATCATCAAAAAGTACAAGTATTCATAAATATTTGTCTACGCAAGATACTCCAGATCTGTTTGCCGGATGCTATGAGCAACAACTTCCTACTACTGTAGGAGCAAACGAACCAGCTTCTAGCTGAGGAGAAAATTAGGAAAAGATGTTGGAAGTGGATAGGACTTACATTGTGGAAATCATCAAACTGTATCACGAGGCAAGTGCTAACTTGGGATCCTAAAGGGGAGCGGAAGACAGGAAGGCCGAACAACATACTGCCGAGAATTGGAAGCAGAAATGAAAAGGATAAATAGCAACCAAAAGCAACTGGAAATAATCGCTCATTACAGAGTTTGATGAAGAATGCTGGTGTGCTGTCTATGCTCCTCTACTAGGGGTAACATGCCTGTGTAAGTATAAATGATGTTAAATTATAGTTTGTTAGAGAATAGTTGTGTACTATTGTATTCTCTTCTATGACATTTATTCTTTTTTATTTAGAAATCTCGAATCAAATTAAAATTACCACCTTATCCTAGTATACCGGTAGAACCAATCAATTTGAATCGGTAAGTTTTTTACTCTTAAATCCGAACTATATTATATGACCCGTTATAAAAGCTAGGAAATCATTCAAAAGAACTGTCTATTTTAAGCAGTGGAAATGATTTAATCTCTATTTGTAATAAGATCCTTGCCTTTTTAGCCTACGTGATCTATTTGACAATGCTTCTACTGGATTATATATGCATATAAATTTATTTGGACATACGTTTGTCATATACTGATAAACCGTACATGATTTGAGCTTAAATCAAGTTGCACTATTATTACTCATTTCGAGGTTCGTATTATTGAATCGTAGGTTCCCATGCCATTTCATCTACCAAGTTTTGAGGAATTAGGTGGTTATATTGTCCCTTATATAAAATAGTTGGAATCAGTCAGTCAGTAACAACGTAGAACTTCGTACGTACGTACATCAGTTCGAGTTGCCACACCACATTAGCACAGAGATGCAGTGGTCGATTCAAATCCCGTAGTGGTAGAGGTAATAAGAGTATAAGCAGTAATCGGGAAGATTAGGGTTTGGAGATGTTATTTAAAGAGTATAATCCAGTGAAATAAATTTGGAAAGAGGAAAAAAGGGACATGAAGAATTCAAAAGATTAGAATTTGGGAGAACACAGAGAGTGGATGCACCTGCGCCATTGCCAACGATTTTGAGCCATGTCATTCAGGGTCTCTAACCATCGGTTGCTATCATCTCGCGGTCCCCAACCAGGTAGTCTACACCTACCAACATGACTCAGTTCACTTGTCAGTGACTTCATGGACTTGTGCCATGTTTTGGTTTGGCCGCCCCTAGCTTTCTTCCAACCTACTCCTATACCACTGAACATAGCACGTCGAGGCAGTCGGTCGTTGGGCATACGTAACACGTGTCCCAACCATCTCAACTGATGAAGTTTCACTACTTCATCAATTGATTTGCCATCCTTACCTAGTACTACACGAAAATATCTAGTTAGTGGGATTCACTTTTTGATTTTGATTCTTTATGTATATTGTATAACAGACCAATTTTCGTGCAGTATTTACCTTGTTAGAACAATATTCACCCCTTCTTTAAATAGTTTCGTCGTACCGTTTATTACATGTCTATAATATTTAAATACACAAACATTTCATCATTCAGTAGAGGAAAATAAGGAATGTAACGCCTACATAAAGTAAGGGAGTAAATAATTCCAACTTCTAGCTATAATGGTTTTTTTCTAACACCAGATTATTGTTTGACTCTTAACCACATACATTCAGCTCTTACAACGTCATGGTACTTTTCATAATTGTCTTTGAAATTGGATTCATGGACCATTTATTTCTTGTTATATGACAGGCCAATAAAAATGTTTTTTGGTTTGTATACTATTGCTAGTTTACGAATCACAACTATTGGAACTACATATTATACAAATATTAAACAGTTCTTATTCTATAAAGTCACTTTATATCTCGATGATATTATTTATTTATTCCCTGTAGTTACCGTGATCCGTCACTTCTGTTATTGAAGGAAATGGACTCTTCGTCATCATCACTCTCCACATCTTCATCAGATGCAGAAAATTCAGATACAGATAATGACTCACTTGGACTTGAAGATGTTGATTAAAACGTTAGGCTTTTTTTTCTTATATTGTATATATGTTATTTTTGATAGTTTCAAGAAATAAATTAAAATTTGACTTTATTATCTTATTGATCTAGCTTCTTTTTATTAATTATTTGTTAAACGTATTTATCTGTTCAATTATTATTTTGATTTGAAGATACAACTTGGTGGCTGCTCATTTTGGGTTTTGTCTTTGAGTTGATGTTATCTGTCTATGGGAGTACGAGTTATGTGTTTTTGTCTCAGCATTCCTCATTCCACTTTCCTGGTGTGTTAAATACGTCCTGCAAACAAACCTTCTCTCGTTCCATCGACCCATATCTACTCTTGTAATTAGTGGACTGAAGGCTAAATATTAGAAATCTTACCCTTCAAACATATTTACTCTATAACACATCTTCATGTAATTTCAGGATAGTGGTGTGATAGTGATTTATTGAACGCTTTAAGCATCATTGTCGATGAAGATGACATGTTAGGACAATGGACTATTGTCTGATTAAATCTAATTGGCTTGAGTTAGTGCATAAATGTTGACTCTTTGTTAACACACGTATGTTCGCTGTGGCAAAATATGAAAGCAGTGTGGGGGTTATACAAATCAAAGTAAAATTTCCACTAATTGCTTTCGTATTTATTTAACTAGTGTATGACTGTTTGTGTTGACAATTATGTTGTTTTATCTAGTTGTTAATCATTGTAATTGAAATTAAGTGTATAATCATTCAGCTTTGTTGTCAGAGAGTTTAGACGGTTTGTACTTAGTCTCTTTACCCTATGTGTCCTGCAATTATCTCACTCTCAAGGGCGACAGTGATACCCATCTGTAAGGCTATTTATTCTTATTCACTATCAGTTCCTGGTTATGATCTTGTGAAGATACTTGCTATAAACAAATGACTTCTTCAGGTATAGCTGAAATTCACAGTCGGAGTATCAAGTGCAAATCTCCAACTGCAGAAATCAACACGGCAGTTATTCGTTCAGGTAAAACGTAAAGTCACCGAGCATTCGGAACTGAAGTTCTTGTTCCTACTTATGGTTCAAGATACATCACTTATGGTTTGTTAAATTTTATGGACAAAATTTCGTTATATTTTGTAAGCTAATCAATTTTGTCTCTGCGACGTTCCATGTAACAATTTGATTCTCAGTGTGTATTGTTTGTATGTATCGACTTTGATTGCATTTCGATTGACCACTAACTAGTCACTCCCAATGTTCACTTTACGAGCTAATTAGATTTCGTAATCACTTCCTCCGCTTTCTCAAATTCGGTCGCCGACTTTTTGTGCCAAATAGATGTTGGGCACAAATTTTCGAGACAAACGACAGTACGTAGGATATTTTTCCAGATTTTTATCTTCGACACAGGATTGGCAAGTTGTCAAACACCCCCCTAACGTTAAGGAGTTTGTGGACACCTTGGACTTCCAAGTAACTTGTTTGTAGTGTTCTCACTCAAGGTCACCAAATAACATTGGTCCTTTAATATTCAGTGTGATACTTTTATTGATTTGGTGTACATTTTGTCCTTGGTCATGTTTCCGTTTTTTTATTTGTACCCGCAAAGTTAGGATTTGTGTTGACTTAAATCTGTTGGTTTGAGTGAGCCCTCACGAATCCTTGTTCTAAATCTTCTGGTTAGAGTTTTTTTGGCGGGTTAGTTTTCTACGGGAAGAAGTCGCTAACTCCATGCCCAACCCTCCTCCTTTATCCGGGCTTGGGACCGGCAGTAGCCCAAAGGGACTCCAGGCGGAGTTATCTTACTTTTAAGTACACGTTGATTAATTCGACGCCCCAATTAACATTTCCGCCTTTCATGTATTTTACATGACGTATTCGTCTGGTTGCAACCACGTTAAACAAGAACTTAAGGTGGTAGAACTAAAATCAATTGAATTAAATACCTTAAATTCCATGAGTATTTCACCATTCAGTAAGATTATTCTACGTATATGGTTTGTACATATTGAAGTACTGTTTCTTCACAGAAATATTTATTCCCAGGCTTCGAAACACTATACTTAGAGTTTTACCTAGTGAAGTATCTGACATAAAAGTTTAATTTTGTAGGCTGATTGGTTTGAGTTCGACCTGCTAATTAAGCAAAGCTTAGTTTGTTTCATCGTCAACGACTATGCTTTAGATATCACTTCTTGTTCCTGGCTCTTCTGGCCATTTTTCTCTTTTCAGTACAACGATTGTCGAGTACAACTATTGAGCTTCTAGTAAAAGATGAACCATGTACGCGTTTAAGTGACAGTAAGAAAGTTATGTTAGCCTCCTGCCGTTTCATTTCAACGACCTGTCATGAAGCTGCCTTTCCGTATTTTAATTGTTGTGTTGGTTGAGCTCCATGGATTTTAGGCATCCTCATATTTAAGTGGTCTGATACCGAAGTGACATAAAAAAATGATTGCGAAAACATTAACTAACCTTTCTTTGTTTTGTAGTGTGTACGTCGTCTCGATTGTTGCTTCGTAACTTGGTTTCGGATACCATTTGACCGACTGAACCTCACCACGTTTATTTAGAACGTGATAAGGTTCAGTAAACAACATAATAACAGTTCTAGTGATGTGAACTTCGCGTGAATCATTGTTTTACCAAAGCTTAAAATGAACTGTCAAAAACTGTTGAGTTTTAGCTTCCACCTTAAATGTTAGTTATACTTCAGTTAACAAAGTATAACGGCAATAAATACCATTTGTTTTGTTTTATAAATACTGTTATGAACGGGGAATTAAGAAGCCCAGACAATTACGAAAGCTATTTTCTTGGGACGTTATTGCATTTCATTCAAAACCTGTAAAACACTTATATTTATTTTTGTCCCTATCTTATTCTACATAACACGAGCTTTCGTTCTATGTATCATTCACTAGCATACCCTTTTTTGTTCCAAAAATATTGTAATTTAAACATTATATTTTGCACTATATTTTCTACCCTAATTCCCTGTTTCGGGCATAACTGTATTTTTCCAAATTATCCTACGTCGTGGTCAAGATATGCACTTATTTATTCATGTACATTTTTGTAGTAATCCGAATTCAGAGAATCCAGAGTTTAGTGTTCCAACTGTCTTGTCTTCTTTCACTTGTGTGCTTGCCAACCAATCAGGATTTAGAATAGTTCTCTCTACCCCATCTCGAACTCACGCATATTAGACTCAAGGTTAAGCCACTCAGCCTAACGCGTCAAGGTCATAATTTAGACTACACCGACCAAGGTCAAGTCATAACAAGTATCACGGGGTAAAAGCGATTCAAGGTCATAACAACTGGCGACGGAGAATTTTTTTTTCTTTCCTATATTGATTGATCCAGTACAAAATGCCTGTTTCATTGGATGACCTTAAAACTATTCTTCAAATGCAGCAAGCACAAAATGATGCAAATCAAATGAAGCTTTTGGATGCATTGGCACGAATGTTCTCATTACAGTCGTCCTCAGCTTGTCAATCAGATAAGCATGAAAGCATCATAAATTCTATTTCTGAATTCCAGTATGATCCTGAAGCTAATATCATTTTCAGTTCGTGGTTTCACCGTTGTGAAGATATTTTCCGCGTTGAATGCTCGCATCTTGATGACGCAGCGAAAGTCCGCTTACTCTTAAGAAGACTGGGAACACAGGAATATAATAAATATGTGAATTTTATCTTGCCGCAAAATCCACGAGATGTATCATTCAAAGATACAGTCCAGATTTTATCTGATATTTTCGATGAACAGTCCTCATTATTTAATACTCGCTATAAATGTTTCCAAATAACAAAATCTCCAGAGGACGATTATCTCACGTATGCCGGGAAGGTAAATCGACAGTGCGAACGCTTCAAAATAAACGAAATCACAGCGGACCAATTTAAATGCTTGATTTTCATATGTGGTCTAAAGAATGAAGAAGATGCAGATGTCCGTACCAGGATGTTGGCACGCATTGAACAAGAACCAAATATGACATTACAAATGGTCACAACCGAATGTCAGCGGTTACTTAATCTCAAGCATGACACTGCGATGGTGCAACAGAAGGTTAAACCTTCCGGTTCTGATTCAATTAATGCGCTCCGATCCATAAAATCATCGAAACAAAACTGTACAAGCAGGAAACAACCTGCCAACCCCCCATCACCATGCTGGTTCTGCGGAGCATGGCATTTTGCAAAATTCTGTCCGTTTAAGAATCATAAATGCCGCAAATGTCATCGCATTGGCCACAAAGAAGGTCATTGTTCGTTAAATAAACGCAAGACTAAACATCGTAGTGAAAATTCAAAGCAACGATCAAACAGTCAAATTAAAACCACGTTTGCAACCTTTAAAGTTGGATTTAAAAGTAGGCGGAAATTTGTAAATTTATTAGTAAATGAAAAACTTATACGACTTCAGTTGGACACTGCTTCTGATGTCACGTTGATTTCAAAGAACACATGGCACAAGTTAGGATGCCCATCCATCCGACCGACGGAACATGTCGCCCGAAATGCGTCAGGAGACATAGTAAAGTTGACAGGAGAGGTCCTATGCAATGTTCAACTTATGGGAAGTAAATTTACAGATGTTTGTTATCTAACAAATCGACACGATTTAGATCTATTGGGATTAGATTGGATTGCACATGTTGATACTTTGAATAAATTATTAGATGAGGTATGTTCTCAAAATGTTTCCTATGATTCTATCCAAATCCCTAATGATATTTCTAAATCAAATGCCTCCGACGAATCATCCTCTCTGGATATTAACGAATTAAATGCTTCTGATGAAACATGTTCTTATGATCTTTCTGAATCAAACAATTCAAATGTTATGTGTTCTCACCATGTCAAATCAAATACCGCCGATTCATTGCCTTCTCATAAAATTTCCAAATCGAATACTTCAGACAAAGTATGCGCTAGTGAAACTTCGGAATCTCATGTACTTCGTTCTAATGTTATGTCTACATCAAAGTCTTCTGTTTCCTCTCAATTGTCGTCCGTATCTTACATAAATCATCTTCGACAAAAACATGCATGTGTATTTCAAAACAAACTGGGCTGTTATAAATTCACCAAAGTATCCTTATCACTAAAGGAAAATGCAAAGCCCATTTTCAGACCGAAACGACCAGTGCCTTATGCTGCTCTGTCAGTCGTTGACCAAGAATTGGACAGGTTAGAAGCACTAGGTGTCATTGAGCCAGTAAATTATTCATCGTGGGCTGCCCCCATAGTGGTCGTGAGAAAAGCAAATGGAACTGTTCGCATATGTGCTGACTTTTCCACTGGTCTGAATAGTGCTCTAGAAGATCACACGTATCCACTTCCCATACAGGAAGATTTATTCATCAAACTAAATGGAGGAAAGTATTTTGCTAAAATTGACCTTGCTGACGCATATCTTC